GATGACCAAAGTTGTTGGAAAGTGGAAAGGCAAATGGTTTTCTAATAATATTAGCCAAAAAGACACTGTTATTTTGTAGCAAACCCCTGAGACCACAGCAGTTACTTTATGACTACTAACAGCTGGCACTTGAGACTAATGTGAAATTTGGCAGCAAATGCATTCAGCCTCTTACCATTTCCTAAAGATCTGGACTCTTTCTCTTACATTCTCACAGATCAGCAGAATCAATCTCTCTCTCTCTCTCCCCCTCTCTCTCTTTCTCTCTCTCTCTCTCTCCCCCTCTCTCTCTTTCTCTCTCTCTCTCCATCCGCCTGACCCACCCCTCTACCCCAGCCCACTTTTATTTTGGAATCCTAGACATAGCTAAGATCAAACAGCGTAAATTTCCAGCACACATTCATAGATTCAACACCAATCTATTGCCATTGAATGTTAGGTTCGGGGATCCATTTGGCATTGGGAAGTTGTTCTTTGAATCCATCTCATTTCATCTCTTATGAAGTATCTCATGTCTGTAGTCCATTGACTCTGTGGTTGTTTCCTTGGTCTAAATTTTAATTTTACCTTTTGTACGTATCTCATGATACAACTTCTCAACCAGCCCATCTGAATTTTTTCTCTGCCCTTTCAAAGACTGATATCTACCCTGTAAGATCACAATTCACAAAGAAAAGATCATGAATGCAGACGCTCAGGTACAAGAGATTCATCACCGCAATTTTTAAAATAACAATGTGCAAACACTAAAAATAACTTCAATATTTAGTGATCAGGGCATGGTGACATAAATAATAATCCATTTAATCAGTAGGAAATTATGCAGACCATGAAAATATCTGCAAAAGATGTTAATTATCATATAACATTGAGCAAAAAAAAAGAGGAAATAAAATTGTATCTAATTTCATTTTAGTGGAAAATGGTATATACATGTAGAAAGAGGACCAGAAGGAAATAGCCCCTTCTGTTTGTAGTGGTTACTCGGATAATACCTCATTCTGTTTATGTTTTTCTCAATTTTCTAAAATGAATACATATTACTTTTACATTTGGAAATAAAACTTGTTTCAAAGATCAAAAAGGTAAGTTGCTACACCGGAATCCAGAAAGCTACAGTAAGCCTTTCCCTTCTCCTAGACTGGCTATTAGAAAGTTGCTTTCTCCTCTGTCTCATTTTAAAGTGGGTAGGTATTGCCATATTATTAAGCAATCAGCCAGTAGGGTTCATCCAAGAGCAATAAACTGACCTCTCAAGAGAAAATTAGTGAAGCTCAGGAAATTAGAGCTAGAAACCCCCACTGAGTGATCTAATGCATCCCTCAAGAATCAGCGCCATATATATTATACTTTCTGGTGTAGGCACTTTCATTTCAATTTAATTTGAAAAGTTTCAAGTGATGGCAATTTCACTGCTACATCTTAGACCAGTCAACAAGCTATTAATCCATCTTCCCTGAGCAGAGCATAATAATTCCAATGAACATCAGAGATATCCATTTACCTTTCTGGCCTGGACCTGCTAGCTGAACAAATATCTCAGACCTAGTTCAAATTCTGGCACCTTCTCTTAGCTAGAAGACTTTACACATGTCCCTTTACTTATATGTTCCCTAGCTATCCTCATTTGTGAAAAAGAAAACCTCACCACCTCCCTCAGAAAATTTGCTATAGGAATTAAATGAGATGATACACACAGGGAATGCACTCAGTGCAACGATGGGTGCTTGGTCGATGTTTGGCGATTCTAGGGTGTTCAGCTCATGTTAAACAGCTGTTTTCCTGGCAGAAGGAAACGAGTCAATAACCCCTCCTTTTGGCTTTCCTTAGATGACACTAGTAGGTGACAGTGAACAATACAGTTCAAAACTTTGAAAAGCAAAATTGCATTTGGTACCCAAACCTTGGGCTACTGGCACCAACGAAATTAACTAGCCTCATCAACATTGGTGAAAAGAAGGGGGAAAAATAAAAATAAAAATATTTAAAAAATAAATTCACTAGGCTCAGATCACAAATTTGGTTCAGAGAGCACTTTTTCACTGTGAATATGAGCCAGGATTGGAAGGCCAGGAGGATGGGAAAAGAAGACATGGAATGAAGAGTCACATTTGAGAAGGAATCAATAGTTTGATGAATAGCTCATGGAGAGGCTGAAGGAAAGAGAAGAATGCTGCCAAGTGCCTAACCTGGATGACTAAATTCACAATTTATTCATACAATGAATTATCTATTGAGCACTTCTAAGGGCCAGCATGGTGCTGGGTGTTTGGGATAACAAAGTAAACAAAACAGAAAAAAATATATCTGCCCCTGTGGAGCTTCCTTTCTTTTTTTTTTCCCCCATTTATTTTATTGCATTTTAGGTTTTGGGATACATGTGAAGAATATGCAAAATTGTTGCATAGGAACACACGTGGCGGAGCTTCCTTTCTAATGGGAAAGACAGTAAATAAGAAGACAAATAATAAATAAATAAGACCATGTCTGACATAGGAAATAAACAAGGAAATGGGATGGAGAATAAGAGGATGGGGTCCACTTTAGATATGATGGCCAGGAAAGGCCTCTGTCAGGAGACAACATGTGAGTTAGTGGGTCCTGAAGGGTAAGAAGGAACCAATAGTGGAGAGAAGAGAGAAAGAATTCCAGGAAGAACAGTAGGTACAGAGACTTCGGGGTGGGAAAAGGTTAGGTATGTTGGAGAAAGTGGGGAAAATGTCTACTTAACTGAAGTGCAGTAAGAAAGGAGAGAATTCTGGGCATGGTGGTGCATGCCTGCAATCCCAGCACTTTGGGAGGTCAAAGTGGGAGGATCGCTTGAAGGCAGGAGTTCGAGGCTGCAGTGAGCTATGATTGCCCAACTGCACTCCCGCCTGGGCAACGAGTGAGGCTCTGTCTCTAAAAATAAATAGTAAATAAATAAGAAGGGAGATATTTGGCAGAAGAGACTGGAAAAGTGGGCAGGGTTCATTGACCAAAAACCAAGCCTCAAGAAGCAGGTTCTTGGGGAAGAAAATGAGTTCCTCTTTGACACATTGAGTTTGAGACACCTGAGAGAATCTCCAAACTAAAGATCCAGAACTGTGTCCTAAGAATTAGAGACAGAACTGGGAGCTGAGAAATTGCTCAGTTGCATCAGAATCACCAGGGGATGTTCTAAAAATACAGTTTTCTCAGGCATTAAAAGTACAGACTTCTGGGGTGCTACCTGGGAAATTCTAATCCAAGTAGGTCTTGATCAAGACCTGAAAATCATTTTTTAATACTTACAGGTAATTTTGGTCAATTCATTCAAGAAACATTTCTTGCATTCCTACTATATGCCAGGACAATTCTTAAGTCCTGGAAATGCAGTTCTGAACAGGCTGGACAGGTTACAGTCTAGAGAAAGAACAGACAGTGGAAAAGTAAAGAAATAAATTACAGTTGTGACACACACTACACACACAAAAAATAACAAGCTGGCAAGTGTAAACTAATGATGGAGACCTACGCTCGATAAATCAAAAACAAACACCTCTCTTTGAGGAAGTTACTTGAGCTGTCACCGTCACCAGAGGAATAAGAAAGAGGAGCCATGTGACAGTCAGCATAAAACTGCTGAAGCAGAGGGAACAGCCAATGCAAAGACTTGGTTGAGAATTCATTAGATGAATCTCATCTTCTAGCTATTCCCATTTCATTAATCCATCAAAATGGAAAAGAAGGCATGGTGGAGAATGTACTAGTTCATCTTTGTGTGTTCACCCAGAAAGCTATACTAAGCACATCCGTTGTACCAGGAACTGTGCCAGATGCTGACACGAAGATGAGCCAGATGACCCCCTTTCTCGGGGAGTGTGCAGTCCAATGAGGTAGGCAGATAACCAAATAAGAATGTCTCATCAGATAAGTGAGAATGTCCCAGGCAATCAGCTTATGTTCTGAAGGAGCCAAGAAGATGATTAATACTTTTGAGTATGATGATGTGAGCAGTTGCTTTTGACACTGCATGATCAAATTATTTTCATTTCTTTGTGGTCCTGCAGTTCAGAATATCTGGATTTTTGGTGAAATATTTGCAAAGGATATCAGGTTTAGGACACTGTATAATGCACTATATGTTTCAGAATATAAGGAGGAATAGCATGCTAATAATAGCTAATATTTATTGAGCATGTGGATTTACCTGTAATGTACCATCTCATAGAAGAGTCACTATGACTTTATGGGGGAGAGACTATTATTATTTCTCCTTTGTCAGATGGAGATATAGGAGCTTAGCAAGATGAAGGGACTTTCCTGAAGTGACAATTTCCCAGTTCTGTCTGGATTCAAGCCTCAGTTCTGGTCCATACGGCCCTCTCATGAATAGCTTAGACACTGATACAATTGCTTTTCTCGTTCTAGTCCCCAAAGTGAATACTTTTCTCTTCTCCCCAACCCACTCATCCATCTAGATTGCCTAGGCCAGCCTTATCTACCTGCATTTCTCCCCAGGGGTCCTGTAGGTGGAAAAGTAGAAGGAAGAATTCCTTGTTTCCACACTGGGGAGGACACCCGGACAGGCACAGACCAGGCAGTGCCCACTGACTGACTGTACTGGACTCCAGTCTCTTGAGCTCCCTGTAGAGTGTGGAAAGCTTTGAGGCCAAAGCTGGGCACCTGGTTCCTAGCCCCCCTGGGGGAGTGGGGCGAGGGGGAGGAGAGATTCCTGGAGCTCAGTGTTCAAGGTCTGAGGCACGCGAGACAAATGCCCACACACCAGACAGTTAAGGTAAAACACTGAAGTCAAGAGCAAGTAGTGAGTCTGTTGCCAACTGGATAGGGTTGGTCTTGTCCTATCTAAATGTATTTGAATTAAGTGGCTTTTAAAAATGAGCTGGTCATCCTAAGCCCGCGGGCTGGCCAATTTGGAACTTAATGGACCTTTGCGTCCTCCTTCCCGGAGCCTCCTTTTATTCCAGACTTCTCAGTGAGAGTCTGTGGGCCCCTCAGACGGTGTCCGGGTGTGTCCTTCAGGGAGTGGGGTGCCTTCGTTTGCCTGTCCCCTGTTTTTTGTGTTGACGCTCCCTCTGTCCTCCCCGCACCCCCCCCCAGCCCTTTTCTCCCTCCCTTCCTCCTTGTGGGGAGGCTCTTGGCCGGGGTCCCTGAGCCCGGGCGGGTGCTGGCGGAGGACGCAGAAGGGGTGAGGTCACATCTCCCTTGAGCCCCAAGCCACTGGCTTTTCAGAGCCTCGCCACGAACCAGCGGCCAGAGCCCCAGACCACACAGACTGTGCGCTCCTCCGCCCTCCCAGCGCCACCGGCCTCGCCCATGTCTCAGTACGCCCCCAGCCCGGACTTCAAGAGGGCTTTGGACAGCAGCCCCGAGGCCAACACTGAAGATGACAAAACCGAGGAGGACATCCCCTTGCCCAAGAACTACCTGTGGCTCACCATCGTCTCGTGTTTCTGCCCTGCGTACCCCATCAACATCGTGGCTTTGGTCTTTTCCATAATGGTGAGTGAATTACGGCCAGAGGCAGCCTGGGAGGAGAGACCCGGGCGGCTTTGCGCCCCTGCAGGGGACTCTGCGCGCTCTCTGCGGCTCCTTCCTCCGGCCTGTGCTCGCTAGGAGTTCTTTGTCCTCGCACCTCCACCTCACCTTTCTTGGGCTCTCAGAGCTCTCCCCGCAATTATCAGCACCTCCTCTGCACTCCTCGTGGTGCTCAGAGCCCTGATCAAGCTTCCCCCAGCCTAGTTCTCCTCTCCCTTCCAGCTCCCAGGGTGCGTTTCCTCTCCAACCGGGGGAAGTTCTTCCGTGGACTTTGCTGACTCTTCTGACCTTCCTAGGCACTCACCCGGGGGTTCTCAACCCTCTTTTCTAGAGCCCCAGTGGGCACCACCCTAGCGGGCATCAGTAAGCACCTTTCTCTGAGCGCGCCGGCTCTACGTTCCCTTCCCTACCGCGCAGGGGGCTCCTGCTCTCCAGCGCCCAGGACTGTCTCTGTCTCAGCGTGTGCTCCCTTCTCTCTTTGCTGCGCCCAAGGGCACCTCTTCCGCCACTTTCCGGGGGTCCCCAGGCCATGCCTGATACCCCTCCTTGACCCGCTGTTTTCGCGCTTCGGCACTGCACGTTCTGTCCCAGCAAGCGTTCCCTCTCTTCTTCCTACACCCGGCTCCCTCTCCTGGCCTCCTTCTTACATCCCCTTTCCTAGGCTAGCTCACACCCTCTACCTCTTTAGGCCTTTCTTAAGCTCTTCGCATGACCCCTCACCAGCAAAGTGCGTCTCTCTCTTACTCTTTCTACCCAGCGCGCCGTAGTTCCTCCCTGTGTGCTGTGCAGTAGCCCCACCCTCGCCTCTCTTGGTGTCCCGCAGGGCTCCCAGGCGCCCCTCCACAGCTCTGTCCCACGCCCGGGGCTCTCCCGCAAATGCACTCGGGGATTCCATGCAACGTGTGGCTCCGCCTGCCCTCCAGAGCTGCCAGCTCTCTAGGAGAGGACGCTGGGGCTTCTAGTCCGCCCTTCCGGAGCTCAGCTCCCCAGCCCCCTTCAACCCTGCTAGGAACACCCAAGCGAACCCCACCAGGAGAGTGACGAGCACTTGCTAGGCCCCTGCCTTATTGACTGGAGCAGCTGGCCTGGGGGTGGCGGCGGGGTGAGGTTCCGGCCGGCAATGTCCCGGGACAACCCTTGCAGTTTCACTCCCTCCCCCACCGGCCCACCTCACTTGCAGCTGAGCCACCAAACTCCCCGGCCACAGACTGAGAGCCCATTCAGCGAGGTGAAAATCGCGAGCTGCCCCTCCCCCATCAAATCCGACTACAGGTGGTGGCACCATGTGCACTTGGTGGGTACCTGCAAGGCTCCATTTGCACCCATAACTTGCCCTTTCCCAAAGCCGGTTTGTGGACCGCGTACGTACAGACATGCAAGCGTGCAGCCGCCAAAGTTAAAGTAAGTCTGTATTCGAATCCCAATTCTCCCACTTTATAGCTGTGTGATCTCTGAAGTCATCGCATCTCTGAACCTCAGTCTCTGAAGTTCAGATGTATAATGAATGTATCATGTTACATTTGTAAAACCGGAAAAATCATAGCCATATTTCTTGGGGTTGTCGGGAGCATTCATGACATCATAATTGCAAAATGCTTAGAACAGTGCCCAGCATGGTACTTTTACAAAATATTTACTCAAATGTCGCTTCATGAGGCCTTCTGTGATTACTGTTTAAAATCAGGACCCCCCCACCCACCCACCCTGTTCAAGCTCTGTTCCCCCTTCCCTCCTGCCTTTTGACCAAAATGCTTCTCTCCATCTGATATAGTCTTTTAATTGTTTATATGTTTACAGTCTGTGTCCCTCTCGTTAAAATATAAGCTCTATGAGGGCAGGGATATTGTCAGTTCCTGTAGCTTCAGCATCTAGAAGAAAATCTGGCACGTGGTGGATGCTTAATAAGTATTATGAAATGAATGTATGCATGAATGAGTGGTGTGGATGAATCATTAACCATTTTTTCCCATCCTGGATCCCCAGAAGCCATAGCATCCGGTTCCTTCCGGCAAACCAGCCAATTTCCTCCCTTCCTTCCTCTCCCCAGATACCCGGTCTTGACTTTTTTTTTTTGCAGAGAGTCTGGAAACAATGCTGCAGCCAGATTCTCCAGGCAGCAGCAGACTCTGTGGCTGAAACTGGTGCCCACATTCTATCGTGGTTTGTTGATGAAGCAGCCAATTCACCCCTTTCCCAGTGCCACTTAGAAAACCACCTGCAAAGGCTTTTTCCCTCATTGGTCTGAAATGAGCTGGCACTCCAGCTGGTAGTGACAGGTCAGATACTAATGATGCTGCCTGATACGCCCTGGGAGATGAGGTTTGCACATGCTTTGAATTGAAACTTCTTTTTCTAATCCCCTCTTCCCCATTCCCTCCCCCAAGCCTTTTTCAATAATTTTACAGCAAGAGACTATTCTGTTGCTAGAACAGACACTGGGGATAGTTTACTATGGACAAGTTTTGTATCTCTCTCTTTTTTTGATTTTTAGACAGAGTCTCGCTCTGTCACCCAGGCTGAAGTGCGGTGGCACAATCTCAGCTTACTGCAACCTCCGTCTCCCAGGTTCAAGCAATCCTCCTACCCCAGTCACCCCAAGCAGCTGAGACTACAGATGTGAGCCACCATGCTCAACTAATTTTTGCATTTTTAGTAGAGATGGGGTTTCACCATGTTGCCCAGGCTGGTCTCAAACTCCTGACCTCAAGTGATCCACCCGCCTCGGCCTCCCAAAGTGCTAGGATTACAGGCGTGAGCCGCCATGCCCGGCCAAGTTTTGTACCTTTTTAAAGCCTTGGTTTCTTCGTCTATAAAATGGGAATGTGAAAGCTGTTTTAATTTGAGCAAAAATGTTGTAAGGATGAAACACAACAAAGCATTCTAGCTCTTGGCACTATACTAGGTACGTGCAGTATTGTCAGACAGATGTATAGATTTGGAACCTGGAGCTATCGTGCTACATATGAAAACAAGCAGAAATTCTAAACAGCGTGTCCTACGCCCTTCCTGTTGCGCTTTCTCTAAGGTACTGGAAGTGTTTCCCATTGATACAGTGCAGTTCTGGGCTTGATCAGTTTCATCACAAGGACTCCAAAGTCCAAAGGACAAAGAGAGACAGGAAGGATGTGCAGAAGGAAGATGGGAGACCAATTCTGCCAGGCGTTTGCTCCCCTAGGGTGTCTTGTGATGTTCAGCCCTGGCTATTTTCAACTCTTCTCTAATAAGTTTAGGCACAACAGTGGTGTACAGGGAATCTCCCTGGGGGCAGCTCCATTCCCCATGAAGGCATTTAGAAATGCAAGGGAGCATTTGTGATGCTCTCAGTGATTTGGGGTGTTATTGGCATTTGGTGGAAAGAGCCAAAGTACTAATGTCTTCCATGCTAGGGGCTGTCCCCCAATGAAGAATGGACACATTCCCAATACCAAGACCATCCCATCCCAATGAAGAAGCACTGTAAGATGATTCAAATTGATATAAACATGACTGTGTGGAACATATTGACAAGGCTCAAAATAATTCACTTCCAGAATGGTAAAGAAAAAGAGCCAACAATCTCGAAACAATGAATACTTTTATTTGTTAAACCAAGCCTGAGAAGCTTTCCATAAAATCACCAAGTTAGAGTAGGTGCTGGCAAAGAAAACTACTTTGGAAAAATATACATTCAAGAAGAGTGTTCTTCAAGTTGTGGATTTCTGTGTTCTTTCTACCACCCCATGTAGATCCATGGGAGTCCTGGGGCCCTGGAGACTAGGAGGTGGCACACCATAGATGGGTTCTAGTCCAACATGTCTTGTTCTGTTGGATGTTGATGGATCAAGCATTGTCAAGGACACAGAAGTGTTTCTTCCTCTATGTATTGAAAGTCTGTTTGTTGAAAGCATACCTAACCTCCATTTGAGGGACACATGTCTCAAGAATTTCCCCCTAGACTGGGTTCCTGTTAGCTCATATTGTACCTGTGTGTGAATTTGAAGATGGCACATTTTCTCCATGCAGACACAGTCCTGCACCAGGGCACATAGCTTGGTGAGGAGCACAAGCTGGCTGTTTATTGAGCATCTATTATGTATCAGGCTCTATTCCAGCTATTCCTTTATCTCTATCAAGTGGAAAATAAGATCAGCAAGGTCTCTGCCCTCCTGGATCTCAAAGAAATGAGGCTCTAGGCAAGTTGCAAGAGTGTTGGCAAATTTAGGGTTAGTTGGCTGTCTATTAGTTTTGTAGCTGGAATTTGCTACCTGACTCTGAGGACGAGTTCATGCCAACCCTCAATTCTTGATGACATCATGATGTAATCATTTGCAAAACTGAACCAACTGGTCACTCTAATCATGGATACAAAATAACCAATGACTTTTAACTGGGTGGCTTATAAGCTTATAAGAACTTCTGTCACACACCTACCAATAGGCGTGTGGGGATTTGTCCATTCTTCATTGGGGGACAATTCATAGGATGGCAGGACATTAGTACTTTGAGTCTTTCCACCAAATGCCAGTAGCAACCCTAAATCACTGAGACCACCACAGATGCTCTCACATTTCTAAATGCCTTTATGGGGAATGGTGCAACCCCCAGTCAAGATTCCCATGCACACCATTGCCTCAGATGTCTCACACACATCCCTATCTAGATAGCCTGTCTAGAGACCAACCGTTAAGGTTAAAATCCTTTTCCTTGATGTGCTTGTGATTTTATGCAAGTGTCTTGATCTTTCTGAAGCTTGGTTTTTCCGCTTTGTAAAATGGGGGTTGTGATAGTATTTACCTACGTGCAATTGTGGAGATTAGATAATAAAAGTTAAAAGTTTTCATGTTACTTCTTAGAACACAACCAGAACTCAATAAGTATTGTTGGTGATGATAATAATGGAAGATTCTAGAGATACAAGCTATTACCTTTTCCAGTTTTCTGTTTATATTGAGACTAGAAAATTTGATAAGAATAAAAACAATGAC